CTAGATAGAAAGTCCACGTGTGCCATGCGTTTACCTTCTCTGTATTCAATTTCGAATGCAAATGTTTGCAAAAACTCCCACCAACGGCAAACCCTAGGTGACAATTCGACTTTATTTCGAGAAGATTTGATTGAATTACAGTCAGTAAAAATCACAAATTTTCTCCCATGCAGATAGTGGCGAAAATGTTTTACAGCATACACGACAGCCTGCGTTTCCAATTCATAGGATGTGTACCTGGACTCACAGGAGCTAGTTGCTCTACTATAATATTCAACCACATGAGGTTTAGAGTTAATGCGGTGCAAAAGGATAGCACCATACCCGATAGAGCTGGCGTCGGTATGCAGTTCTATCGGAAACTGGGGATCAAAAATAATCAAAACAGGCTTGTTTGTTAATACACTGATGATTTTACTGCGAATTTCTTCATGCTGTGGCTGCCAATCAAAACTATTCTTTTCAGATGTGAGAAAATATAAAGGCTTCATCAGTTGTGAAAACCCCGGAATGAATTGACGAAAATATGACGCTAACCCAATGAACTGTCTTAGAGTAGCAACTGATTTCGGTGGAGGCAACGCCTATAGCGATTTTATTTTGCTTAAATTTGGACGTATCTCCCCCGCTTTTATCTCATAACCAAGGTAACGAGCTGTAGATCTCAAGAAAAAGCACTTCGAAATGTTAAATGGGAATCCTGCCTTCACTAGAACGTCTAATACAAGTTGCAACCGCTCATACGCTTCTTCCTTCGTTTCTGAAACAATTAATATATCGTTCATATAAACGATTACAAACGAGTGAGCAAGACTGCCAAGTGCTTTCAATACAGCTCTTTGAAACACTGAGGGTGCGTTCTTTAATTCAAAGGGCATCGAAAGAAATTCGTAATGCCCATCAGGAGTAACAAAAGCAGTATATTCAATTGATTCAGGGTGCATTGAAATCTGGTAATACCCGCTAGCCATGTCCAGAGAAGTGAAATATTTAGCTCCCCTGAGTCTAGCTATTAGGGCTGATATCAACGGTAATGGAAACTTATCAGCTACTGTATTTTTATTTAACTCTCTATAATCAACACAAAGTCTTGCTGCACCGTTTTTCTTCTTTACTAATAATGCAGGACTAGCAAATGGTGAACTACTAGGTCTGATAACTTTCTACTCGGTTAATTCTTTAATTTTAGCACGTACTAACTCCCTTTCGCTTGGACTAAATCTGTATGGTCGCCTTTGCACAGTCTTAGTCGAATCAATCAAACGAATATGCATTTCCCCAGTACTCACACGCGTTTGCGGAGTGCCTTCTATAAAAGATTTTGAGTGTTGCTTTAGTAATGATATTAAAATTTCTTTTTCATTTCCGACCATTTCAGTTTCAATGTTATCAAAATTAGTAGGTTGAACGGTTTCACAAACGTTCACAATTGTAGTTTGAACAATCTTAAAGTTATCGTAAGAAACTTCCACTAAACACCCTTGAGCCAATATTTCTCTGCCAATTACAATATTATTTTTCATACATTCGTCTGGTACTATATGAAACAAAACAACCAAAAAATTACCATCAATCATGACGTTTGATTCAACTTGTACAGTACTGTAAGTATTGGCATTACCTATTCCCTTTAACGAGATAACGCTATGAATTCTCTTACCAACTAGCTTATTAGAAACGCTTTCTTTAATTAATGAGCACTCAGCTCCCGAATCAAATGTAATTGGAAATCTCTCACCATTGACCAGCATACTCGATTGAGGCTCTACCATAGCGCACAGCTCCACTCTTTTTTCCGATCTTACTCCCAATCCGGTATTCTGCACTTTTTTTTGGCAATTACTGGCAATATGTCCCGGCTCCTGACATCTGTAGCAAGTTACATTTGCCCTTCCATGATGAGGCTGCCCTGAACGCCACTCCTTTCCAGTTGCCGAAACCTGGAATCCCATTCCAGATCTACAGACTTGTTTTTTATGACCTAGTTTTCCACACTGATAACATTTGAGTTCCACAGTTTTAGCACGCTTGGCCTCTGGTTCCCAGTTTGCTGCAAAAGGACGCTCTTTCAGCGCTGAGAATACTTGCAGCTCCGCTTGCAGTTCACGTCGATTGTTTACATGCGTTGTGTGTATCATTCGTTGCAAACGCCGGTCGAAATTAGCCATGTGCCCAAGAACCAGCGCGATGGAAATTTGTTCAGAACTCAAATTACGCAATTTTGTGCACAGTGACGTCACACTGCGACTCGCAAAAACAGGCAAGCTTTCACCGTTGCTTGGGCGACTATTAAGAAAATTTAAAATAACGGCGGCTGGCGTCTCCGATGTCTCGTATCGCTGCTCAAACAATTGCCTAAACTGTTGCCAAGTTATTCCTGGGTAGCATATTTGTGATAACCACTGGGCCGCTGCGCCTTCCAAAGCTTTACTCAACGCTAATATAACAGCGCTATCACTTAACGGTTTTGCTCGTAAAATGATGTCGACCGTAGCGCACCACTGCGTGGCATCCACCCCAGCAATGTCCGGATTATATTTCGGCAAGCAAATCTCGCTAGTCTGTTGTAACTCGCTCGCCGGCATCTGTAGCCTCTTAACCAGTTCCAGAAAATTCCGGTTTTGCTGCTCTAACAACGCGAAGACATCCCTTGAAGAAGTTTGGTTAGGGCCGAATCCCACTTCTGATGTCGGAGAATTGAAGTCGTCTCCCTGCAGGTCGTCATTGTTGGTTGCTTGACCGTTCGGATTCTGATGTTCTGTACTCAGGTCTGGCGGATGCAGCGAGTCTTCGTTGCCTTTGTTGCTCATTATTGTCTCTTAAATACCCACACGTGACCACCTCACGTCACGCCAGAAACACCGAACAGACACCAGAGAGAGACCAGATCTAGCAACCGCATACGAAGCCACACACAGCCTCAGTTCGCAAACTGAGTCCCCATTCTACCAGAACTAGTATCTACCAGCACAACCCATGGTCACATCTTAAGGTCTCATGCCTATCGAGATGCTACAGTGCTTCCTCTCCGACATATATTTATCCTTGGAAATGAATAACGTCAACTACCAAGTCTTTGACTGCCATTGACTCCCCAAGCGCGAAACACCCCACAAATAAATTTGACAAAGATTTTGGAAAATAAGTTTAAGGCCGAATGGATGGTAAACAAAAAAGTTTAATACAAACGTTTTTCGCCATTTTACCACACATCCGGGTGGAATTTCCCGAAACCCCGACTTAACGGGCACCTTCATCACATAAGGTATCTACAGTGAAAATTTCAGCTTTCTAGCTCTTACGGTGTGGGCCGTGGGTTGATCACCAATCAGACAGTTAATAAGTCAGTCAGTCAGGACAAACGGTTTTATATATAGAGATGATGGACAATATATTAATTAAACTAGTGGGTATTGACCGGCCTTATCCGTAGAACGTTTTGTGCTAAAATTTTAGATTTTTCCTTTCCGCTAAGTACACGTCCTTGGAAAAAAAATGAAACCTACCCGTTCCATCTTGATATCTACTTCCATTTAAAAATATGTTTAAAGTACATCGAATAAAGAATCAAATGTTGGAATCAAAGGTTTCCGCCCTTGTTAGTCTTGTGGTTAGAATCGTGAGGCTGAATAAAAAACTAGCGTTTACTGACCCGCATTTTCGATTCAATAGCGGTGAACTTTGCGAAGGCGTGTCAAATAAGTTCCGATAACGATCTTTGAAAATGAGTTTTAAACCGATAATGAACCAAAAAGTTAGGTTAATTTTTTTCGCCGAATTTCCACAGTTGCGGCTGAAATTTTCTAAATCGTTGAATCGGCGCTTATGTAAATTAAAGCAACTCGATCAGCTGTTTATTTAAATAAGCGGTACTTTTGCCACGCACATGTTACCGAAAACCGGTTGAACACCAATATGTGAAACTTGAAAATGTGACATTTTTAAGCCCAGTGGAGAAAGGCTTTTACTAACATTTTCAAGCAGTATATCTTATTGTGCAATAGAATGTTCGTATGTTTTCAAAAAAGAACAGCATAAAAGTTGTGGCTTAAATTGGTGGGCAGCTCCAATCGATTTATTTATTTAACTTAAAGGAATGACCGTTTTTGGGTTAATGAGTGGCGATAGCTATGAATGAAAGATAAATATTCTTTGTATACTATTATAGAAGCTATATGTCAAATTTAGTGACTCTAGCTCGTAAAGCCCAAGAGCTTTGTTAAAAAAATGAATTCGATATCGATTCTTATCGATTGATCGGTCAGCGCGGCCGCAAGGAGGACCTACGTTAAAAATGTTAATTCTTTAGCTCTTATTGGTTCTTAAATCGACGCGTTCATATAACCGGACAGACCGGTCGACTCGACTATTGATGCTAATCAAGAATATATATACTTTATGCTAATGCCTGTTACATATATTTGTACAACAACATTATACCCTCTTTACTCATTTTCAATGGGCTTATGGTATTAAAAGAACGTTTCTACTTAGTACTACAAAGTTGTCATATGTCTTATGTGGTGTTTTAGAGGTCGCCATCACAACTATCAATGCTGAGGAAAATATCCTCCCCGGCATATTCACACGCCAGTCGCTCTAGACCACAATCAGCCAAGTAAGAATGCGTTGGTCCCTTAAAAGCCAGGTATTTTAAAATGAGTGCTGAGCGCTGTCATGAGAAAATCAAGTCTGAGGGCTCTAGTCGGGAACCTTCTTCTGCCAAAATCAGATGCAGCTTGTGCTACGCTCTCGATCGCTCAAGCTTAATTATTTTTACATATTTAATGGATAAAGGGATTAATAAAATTATTGAACATTGAACTCGAGTCGGCCAGTTTAAAATTTAGTTTATAACAGTGTCCACATAGCTTTCTATGCTTTTTAAATACTAATACTAGCTAATTTAATCAGTGCGCAGTACGACTTATTCCATCTCCGACATATATTTAAATTTCAAGTCTTCAGCTAACAATTTTAACCTTATCTTTCTCTTACAGCAAAAGGAATCTCCCTGGGAGGGTGGCATACGCTCCGCAGGCGCTATCTGGAGTCCACTTTTGCAAAAGAGTAGCTACGTATCCGATCAGGTTATTCATGCAATAGATTGGCTACCCACACTGGCTTCAGCTGCTGGTGTGGTTCTTCCCGATCATCACAATATAGATGGAGTCAATATGTGGCCCTCGCTTAGTGAAAATTTGGAGCCGCAGCCTAGAACACTCCTGCATGTATTGGATGATGTTTTTGGCTATTCGTCATATATGCGGGACAATTTCAAATACGTCAATGGAAGCCGTTTTGAGGGACGATTTGATAGTTGGTTGGGCGAGTTGGATGCCAGCGAAATTGATCCGCTAAGTGCGTACTACGTTCAGCAGGTTCTTTCTTCTGAAGTGCAGCAGGTTTTGGGCTCTAATAGCCTGACTAGCGAGCGTATCAAACAGCTCCGTGCCCAAGCAACTCATCACTGTTCCATCAACGGAACAAACCACATGCAGCCTCTGTATCTGTGCCATCCCCTGCAAGCGCCCTGTTACTTTAATTTGACCAACGATCCATGCGAGCACTATAACCTAGCGAACCTGTATCCATTGCAACTACAGCTGCTCGAAAAGGACGTAAACGAGTTTCGGCTGGGAGCTGTCAAAAGTGCTCGAGTACCAATACCAGATTCGCGTGCAAATCCCACTCTTCACGAAAACTACTGGGAATGGTGGAATGATACAGAAACCGAAAGAGTTACCAGTGGGGCTGAAAAATGGAGACCTAATCTTTTAAACTTGATTTGGCGATATTGTGCTTCATTCTTCGAATTTGCTTATAAGTAATATTTTTGAATCCTTCTTTTCCGAAAAATAAAATTGTTTAAGCGGTTGTTCTAATGTAGCTAACAGGCAAAAAAAGGAATATCCGATCTAATTATATGTAATTTTCGCTAGCACCAACATGTAGCCATGTGCCTCAGTCTGGAGTGAAGACTTTTGGCAAAGCCTTATAGCGTTTATCGCTGAAAATCGTAGCAACATCATCAACAAAGCGATAAGCATATTCCCCTAACTGAAGAGCGACTTTACGTATTGAAGAATAACACCGTGCACGAAGTGCCACTACTGTAGACTGAATATGATAGACCTAGAGACGACAACTCTAGAAAAACGGCGAATCCGAGGTACGACATGCCCATGTGATGAACAGCACTACGACAGTGTGGCCTCTGGATACCAGGCATCTTAAACAAGTGTCTTAACCAGGGCAAGTCCTGACGCGGCGGACTGGCGGACAGATAATCAAGTCCTTTCAAAACACTAGCAAGTTTAATCGAAATTAGAAGAATCAGAACATAGCATAGTAGTCCATTGGTTGCATTAACCAAACGATTGAAAATACTTTCCTTTCCCCTTGACACCCTTCATTAACTAAGATTAAATAAACTAAATCCATATTTTTGCTCTTTCGTGTACATAAACAACATTTCATTAGCCCATCCAATTCATTATCAAAATTTATTTTCGTTAACACAAACTTTTTTTCCTTAAAAACTTGTCAAACATTTAATAAAAGCTCCATACTGCTGCACTTTGGATAGCTCAACTTTATTTTTAGAGTGAAGATATGTATATGGATATGGAGACCCAAACTGGTATTAAAAGATTCAATATTTCTATGCAGTTTCCATTAATTATAACATTATTTCTAAATATTGATAACGTTGTTTTCCCTTGCCGAACTTCTTATTATCTTGACACCCATTAACCATGAAGCTAAATTCAAATATGAAGATACACAGGCTTCTAATTTTGCGCAATAGTTTCCTGAATAAATCTACCACCATCTTCCAAGCTGAGGTGTACGCAACGGGACGTATTACGCAGTAAAATGTGGAATGCTGTAAGTGTTCTTTTGTGGGATGGGTTTCTGGAATCGATGGTGCGCACTAGAGAGTTTAGGAAATGGCCCAATAAAGGGATTGTATAAAAAATATTCATAAATATAGACTTGACATTGCGTCCTTGAATATTGCTCATGTATATGGTCTTCGCAGTATATTAATAGTCAGGATCGTATTGAATCAGTTCAGGAGCAATATCTTTTTTTATTCATTTTTTATAAAAGCTTGTTGTATTGAATAAAAAATAGCATACATTTTTATTAAAACACAGTTGGCTTAGGTGATATTTCGCCAAGCCTGGTTGGCTCCTCAGTCTTTATCGTGGACAAACGTCAAAGGCGGTTGTTTTGAATAAGTTGGTAGGGGGACTCTGGGGCGTCTCCTATGTCGTGGTTGGAGGACGTCCTTGAACGATCTTTTCTTGTACCTCCTGACTACACACCACCCTGGCCCTGCTCTCCAGGGGAACTATCACGGCCAGGTGGTCGCTCGGGAGGTCCCACACGTCAGCGATTGATAGGAGCTGGTCAGGGATCCCCTGGCGAAGTCTATGCAAGACTGAGTGCCGATGCTGCCGTAGTTGAGTATGACGATGAAGTCATCAGTCGACGTCTGCTCATTTGGCCTCCTATAGACTGCTCCAAAGTCCACGTTACCAGCATCAGTGAAGACTTTCACAGTCGAATATTGGTAAACACGATAAGCAATGCTCGATTGCGGAAAGTGAACCAAGTTACTCCGGACGAGGACAGCGCAGCCGCCACCAGCTGAGCGATTTTGAGTCCAGTGTACAGGGTAGGTAGGATGGTAGGACCAGTGGTTCTAGTTTCTGACAGCATAATTATTTCGATGGCTTGTTTTTGTACTAGGTCCTCTAGCTCTAGTACTTTACCTGAATTGTCATTGGCATTTTGGCATTCCAGATTAGCACCTTCAGTGGTGGGTTCATTTAGATAGCAACGCGGGCAAGAGGGTAAGGATTTGCTGTTGCATTCCCAAAATAAGCTGTTGCATTTCTGCCATCCTCTCGATAGCTCGGCTCATGTCCTTGATGGCCGAGGAAAGTCCTACCCCGTTTTTCCCCGTTTCTAGATGTCTGCTGTTACTGTTGTTGTGCAGTCAGCCTCTGTTGTTGCTGTTCCCTCAGCAGTCTATGTAGCCTAGCCTGCGCTGGTCCTTCGCGCTGGCTAGAGCTGCGGGCGTTGTTTTCTTTGCTGAATGCAGCTGGTCCCATGAACTTTATTGCTGCGGCTTCGGATCGCTTGAATCGGTGGGAGATTTTTCATTTTGGCGGGCTTTGGGGCCCCAAGCATGCTTTATATATTCGGTGAACCACTCGCAGCCCTTAAAGTTGGGGCTGCCTGATTACCACCGCAGTGGGGTCAAGTTGCCAGAACTGAGTGTGCAATCAGTAGTGCGATGATTGAGCCCGCATTTAACGCATTTGTGTTGTTTTCTACAGTATGTGGCCATGTGCCCGTACTCCTGGCATCTATGGCATTGTACCACTTCCTGGCGAGCAGTCTCCACCTTGACCACCTGCTTGCACAGCTTCCTGATGGTAAGAGCCTCCTTGTTATTGGCCGCCGGCTGCAAGTTAATGAAGGGCTCCTTGGGCTCCTTGGTGACTTTGCTGCTCTGATTGTGTCCGTGGAGAATGGTATGACCCTGGCTCCGCAGGCTCGATTAGCTCACGGTTGAGTGTGAAGTGGTGGAGGCCTTTGATTACTATGCGGTAGGGCTTCTCCTCCTGCAGCTGGTATGAGTAGAACGCAATTTGTTGTTCTTCCAGTCTCTCTATGATGGCCCTGTATGTGGGCACATCATTGGCTTGGAGTCGCATAGTCCTATCTATTCCTATCCACTACTTCGGATAGTACGAGCCATTTAGGACGATGGGGGACGGCTTCTTTCCTCCAGTGAGGGCATTGTTGTTGGCCCTTTTTCGGGCACGGAGGAGCTGGTGCTGGCTAGTTGCTGAGGCAGGTAAGTTTCCTTCTTGGGCTGGGTTTACCTGCTCGGCCTCAGATTCGTAAGTATCCATGTCTTCGTCGTTATCGGGTGGTGCCAAGAGAGTATATCTATTGAAAGCATATATGCGAACTGGACTGGTGTCAGTCTTGTTCTGTTTTCGCCGCGCGGCAGGTGGGGACCTGCCGACTAAGACTTTGCGCTTATCGTTTTCTTTCGCCTGTGATTGAATCCGTCGAGCCACGGCTGAGGCCGCACTAGAGGCTTTTATGAAATCAAATTATATTTGCTAGACGTCAATGTCAATGTCTGTATTCGCCAGCATGTGGGCTGCTGCCGGGGTCTTGGGCATCCATTATAGGGTAAGGTGATACTGAAGTGCTAGCACCAGCATGTGGGCTGCTACCGGGGTCTTGGGCATCCATTAAAGGGTAAGAAGGTGAATCTGAAGTACCTTTTGCAGACATCAGTGCGGAGTATTTATTGGCAGCTGTTGTTAAGTGACGTAGCGGCGTCAGCATTAAGTTGGCCTACCTCGTTAGTTCGATGCAGCCCTTGTCCTGTTATCAGCACTCAATGCACTCAAATTGGCATTGCCATTGGTTGGGTGCATGTCAGCACGGCAACGCAGACAACTTTCTTAATTTGTGACCACCTTATTTTTTGGTTTGATTTTCTTCGATTCACCTAAAACAAATTGCTTTGTCGGCTATTAATTTTGCTTTAATTTTTTTTGTCGTTTTTGTGTTATTTTTTGCCTTATTTCTGGAAAAATTCACCCGACAGCTTCAACGTTGTACATCATTTCAGCTGGCGAGCCGTTTAGATCGTCTTTAACTGTTGCTCGTAGGCCAAGTAGTACGATGGGAAGGCTGTCGATCTAGTTGGATTCAGTGTGACATTTGATGGCGGTCTTCAGCGTCCTGTGCATTCTTTCTACTATTGTTCACACATAAACACGTGACACCGAGTCTAAATTTGACCCTTGGAAAATTATATCTCACACCCTCGTGTACGACTGCAGCATAATAATAGATAGCGCACTTATGGTCGCTTAAGATTGTAAGAGCGACCTACGCTATGAAATGTCATATGAGAAATATAAGTAGCAAGGGTAAAAAATACCCTAATTAAACACAATAGTTTATGACCGCTGCTGCCGCATGCATTGACAGCAGGCCTAAATTAAGACACTCTGTTAGTATATAAGACCTAGGATTCGTAAGAATAAAATCAGTATCTTACAAGTACTCAAAGTGAACATATCCGTTCAACTATGCCGATGGCTTGTGGGTGGTATTCTGTAGTTCGCAGATGCTTGGATCCCGTCAACTTTGTAAGCTCCTTACACAATTTAGACTCAAACTCTCTGCCTTAATCGGTTGTTCAACCGTGCAATAAATCTTTAGCTTCTGTCTCTACGGTTATTTCTGCTATTGGGATTGCCACCGGCCAGCATGAGACTCGGTCAATGCATATCAGACAGTACCTGTAATTGTTGGCCAGTGGCAAAGGGCCAATTAGATCAATGTTGATATATTCGAATCGCTTTTCAGGCAGGTTGAACTTTTGAATTGCTACTTTGTTGTGTATGTTGACTTTGGGCTGTTGGCAGCTGATGCAACAATTTACCATCTGACCAATGTTTCTTTTCGTTTGGTTATGAGTTTCACTGTAGCGTGCTTACCTGGCTGCGATAAGTTATGAATGGAATTGACGACTTGCTTACGGTAGCTGTGTGAAATGTCGCAGTATAACAATGTCCTTGAGTCGTTAAGCTGGATTTGTTTTAGCTGTACAATGTACAAATGTAAGTGTGTGGTGACAATGTTTTTTTTTTTTTCTGGTTCCGGAGTCAGAACCAACTTCATTGGCGGTTAGTTGGCGACGGTTAGATCCACTTCTTGTGTAAACATGCCGCCCGCCTTGCAGTATTGCAAACAAAAAAGAGGAGAAGGAAGTGGTGCTGTTTTATTGGTGAGCGCAGGATCCTACAGTACCCATACCGTGTTTTGGGCCAATGGTGCGCCGCCATGGCTCAGCAGGA